TACACAAAGCCACTATGGTATCCGAGTCACATGGCATCAAAACAACAACCTTGATACACAAAATATACTAACAGTTACCCGCGCAATCGCAAACGAGATACATCCCAGCTGCCTCAAACCCACATCAGCCTCAGCCTCCCTTCTATCCAACCCTTTCAAGTCCAGGAGAAGCCCTAACCCAGCTGACGCCTACAGAGACGGTATCAGTGCACACAGTCTATCATGAGGTGCAGGGCGCCTTGTGGCTGTTCAAACCCAGGAAGAGCCCAAGAACCTTCTTGGGATGCCGCATACATTTCAGTAAGCAAATGACAGAACAGTGAACTCTTAACTCACTGTCACCTAGAGCGAATACGGCCATAACTGAACGTAACGAATCAATCCACAATCCCCCCACTCATAATCCCAAAGGTAGACCAACTGACCAGTGCAAACGAGGGACGTCCTCGAGGTGGTGGGGGACCCAAGGGTAGCAGTGGAGTTGCTGGATCGAACGCAAGCAGGTGATGCGGACTGTGTCATCAAACGGGACACAATCGCACAACTTGTCCTGTCTGAGCGCTGGCTTAAATTTTGCCTATGGCACACTGTCAGTTGCATTCCCTGTACAATTGCCAAGACCGTACTGAGATGACCATGGCCATCCATGACCGACGCCCTTCCTCCCGTTATGCGCTGCAGGGGACGATGTGAATAAGTCCGTGATGAGGTATCCTAAGACGTGCGTCCCGCCCGGGTGAACGAGGACTAACACATGGGGAAGCAAAATGCTGGACAACCCAATCGTGCGCATCATGGACATCCTCAGATCCTTGAGGGTGAGCGATAGCTTGGAACGAGAATGTAATCGGGTATAACGATAAGGTGCCTTGCAAAGCGAAGTAAACCCCAAGGTTGTTGTATGAGGTTAGAAGTGGGCGAGGGGCGAGCAAGGAGCCGGAACCAGTTTGAACGAGCCCGCCTCCGTAAAAGTACCAGACTTGTATAACCTCCTGGTGGGTAGTACACGTCAAGCTGTGGTATTTAAATGAAGAATTTCTGTTAGTGCATTGCAACACACCTTATTGGACAGTCATGAAAGGTTTTGCGTACGATCTACTCTATCACTGTGCCATTTGCTTCAAGCTATGAGAAGTAGTAAGTTAGATTTCGTTTTTTAACACAGGGCGACTGACGAAATCCTTACTGAAATCAATGATCGCCTTCGCGTGTGGCGGGTAAGATCCTAGTGAGATGTTTGTGTCCAACATGGTTGCGCAAAGGATGGGTGGGCATGCAGAACAAAGGGTACCGATGTTGAACGTCACAGTTACTATTAGACTTTAGTAATATTACTGATCCTTTGCGGCTGCAGCTCATGTGACTTCCGGACCTCGACCGATGAAAAACAGGGTTTCCATAGAAGCAAAGATTTTGAGTGGGGGGTTTCTGCAGAAAGGGGGTTTCTCAATAGTTTTATCCCAAGAAAGCTGTGAATATAATGCAAAAAGAGTTAAGTTATAATTAGTGATGGTAAAGACAGTCAGTAACTCAAAGGTTCATGCTCGTTCTTCCCCCCAACCTATCTAGGACTCATCGACATACTTCTCTAACTCTTCAAGCTTCCTGCGAGACATCAGATCCTCGACGACAGAGACGGATAGATCGAGAACTGATAATTCCCTTTCCATGCTGATTAAATCTGCCATGAAGGTGAGGCGGTCGGACCTGTAGCCAAATTTGAGGACTTGGAGTTCTTCAATCTTCCACGATGACATATTTGTGCGCCGAAGTGAATCCGTCTCTTTACTTGACGAGAAAATGCGTTCACAAGGGACTGCTGAGGCCTGAGCGGGCAGGACATCCAGGGCGACCTTCCACATCAACGGATACATTGCCTGCTTCAACTGTAACTAGTGCGTGAGTTCTGAATAAAAGAGTTGTTTAGATAACACGTTACGCACCTGCCAATACCTGAGCAAATCGAAGTCCTTGCTTTCCGGATGATCCTCATTAAGGATGCCTGCAGCCTCATATGCCAGGATCTCGGCCTCAACAACCTTTCTATCCTCTTCAACTGCACACCGCTCTTGTTCCTCAGGATCCACGACCTGATCTGTTGAATCTTGAATATTATAACTTGAAGGTAGTGTAGGTGCTGATAGAGAGCGAGCGAGCTGGTTGAACCGTGCATATCCTGATGCTTGGGAGAGTGCAGCATGTGATGCTGATGGGGCTCAGACAACGTGGCGGGAGATTGACGTTGGTGGGGTTGAAGTGGGCGTTGCCAGTGCCTGAGCTGTGGATTTTCGTAAATCGCGTTGGTATTTGAGAAGCTGGAAAATTAACAATTAGTTTTTTTTGACATGGAGCAACAACTCATGGATTACCACTTGAACCACAGTTGCTCGGGTGGTGTTATAGTCAGATTGTGTCCAATGATCCTTGAGCCATTGGAATTTGATTGTCAGGTTAAGCACTGTGTCAAGTTCCGTTAGCCACTGGTTAGCCATGTGTGAGTGTTGGCGGAAAATGACATACCCATGGCCAACGAATAGATTTTGGAGGTCCGGGACTTTGCGAGATATTCCTCAAGCTTTGCTATCGAAGCAGAAATAGCATGGGAAAGCTCAGGTGTCTTCTTCTTAAGATCACCGAGCATAGTGATAAGCTTTTCGTACATGGGAAGGACTATGGAAAGTGTCGGCATCTTCTCCGCAGATACAAGTTCTTGTACAACATGAAAAACATAAAGAAATTCCCGGATATCACAAAGCACCTTGATGTCGATAGCAGCAAATGTGTGGTCGGACAAGTCAGTGTTTTGTTGAACAAGCTTTTCAGAGACCTAGAAAATGATTTCAACAACTAACTTAATGACGTTATGAAAAAACTAACTAGGTATGTTTCCAAGAAACGATCAACCATGCGAAAGGTCGACGACCACCACATATCAACGTCCTTAAGAAGGCCCACCTCTCTGATGTGCTCGTGTGATTCTCCCCAGCCGTCGGCCCTGTTACCTTCGATAAGAATTGTGTCAAACTCCTCACGGCGCTGACCTGATGCCCTGCAGGCTGTAACATATCGTCGTACACGTGCCACAATGTCGCTTTTCAAAGCTGCTTGATAAGCCTCATTGTCTCTAAAGGCGGCGGAATATTTGGGGTCGGAATCGTCAAAATCAAGCTCCATGATTTCATCAAAATCCTCATCTGACAAAAGAGAGGGGAGTTCGGTTAAATGCTTCAGTGCCGCTTTAACTGCGATATTTATAACATGCGGGAAACACCTTTATTTTCGGCATGATTCAGATAGTGTACCACCTGAAAATATATGTGAACATACCTGATGCGGTTTCCATCTTTATCAAAGGGAATCCCAAGATTCTTGAGGTCTGTAGCAAGCTCTTCCATGAGTGTATTGTTGTTTGATGTGTTGTCGAGTGTTAGCATTGAAAGCTAATCCACGGAGGTTGGAAAATCAGTGACTGCAGCTTAATTCACGCAATTTCGAGCTCACTTTGTTGAGACACCCGATTTCTTTTATGACTTGTAAAAAAACCTTGCCAATATTGGCTCCGCTATGGCTTCCTTGGAGTTGACGGAAGGCCACAAGTTGGGTACGAACAATGAGATTACCGGATTTTGAGGACTTGGCGGAATAGTGGGCAGTAATGGCCATATACGACTCGAGATTTTGATGGGACCATATATCGCTCGTGAACGATACCCGCCCAAGCGAGTTCTGTTACCCAAGTTAGCACCAGAAGTGATGAAGAGATCGTGCAAGCTTACCTCGATGTCCTTCAACATAGCCAAATATTCTCGCTTGAATCCCGCCGTGATCAATTCAGAAAGCTTCGTTCGATGTGGGATATCAACCTCGTCCAAATGGGGGCTGACAAAGAGAAGGAGTTCACGTAACTCAGGAGAATCAACGACATCTATTGACTGATAACCTCAAAGAATTAGTCGATGGATAACTAAGAACAGCAGGACATACTTGATCATTGATGGCAACCCATTTAACCAACCTCTCATAAAATTCTGCAAGAGAAAAGGGTTCCTGTTCCCGAGGCTCATCTTCGAGTGTAGCTGCACCAACCTCTTTCCATCCTTTGAGCTGCCGTAGGACAACGACAACCCTCCAGACCTTGCCGTGTTTCCCTCGCAGGTGTTGTCTGATGGAGGTGGTCTGGCCCTCAACATTCTTCCATGTCGTCCATGAAGTCTCGAAACTAGTAAGGTATAAAATAAGTTTCCAAAAACAGTCAACGATAAGCAATGTACTTACGGGCATAGGCGGCATCCGAGATATTCAAATGACTTGGCGTTGGGGCGTTTTTCCGAGAGGACCTCCTGTTCGGGCATAGTCTGCGGCTTATCAGGAGCATTGAGTCCTTGAGTAAAATACCAGACGTCTGTTGCATGGGTAAGATTGTTGGCCGGTTTGTTGTTCAACAAGGATCCGAGAGAGCTGGTGATGCCGTTTGTGCGAGTAAAAGCTGGGTGGAGTGATGGATTAGCCTGTGAGTTGGAATCGACAATTTGAGGCCCAACGCCTGGAACAGCTGGATGATTCGAGGACGCAGAGGTCGAGATCGGGGTTTGCGAGGCCTGAGCATTGACATCGGATCCCAAATTGCGACGCTTCGATGCGGTCGTGCCCTTGGCCGTATTCTTGCGCTTTCCCGAGGCACTGCGGCTCACCGTCAGTGTGTTGATAGTGTTGTAGGTTGCATCTGAGAGTGCGGAACGAAAGGCAAGGGGCTCATCCGGATAGGGATTACTCTGAGCACCGTATGTCGCCTGGTAGACATTCTGGAAGCCAGAGACATAGGCAGGGGGTGGCAGTGGATTCGAGGGGTTGAGATGGGTTTGATAACCCCATGGCGCGTGCACGTAAGGACTTGTAGGAGTTGCAGGCTGTGGCTGTACTGAGAACATGTGCTGCTGAGGGTGGTAGGTAGGTTACAAAGGTTGTGAGGTGCAGGAACACAGATGAGGATTAAGACACCTACAAGATGGTGGCACCTGTGCCATCCAGTTGGGATTGCAACCTTTTCAATTCTCTCCGTTTTATACCTCCAATTTCAAACCTTAATTCACCCATTCAACAAACTGTTCAACAACGCGCGACGCATCCTCAGACATGAACCCTTGGTGTGTTCGCGTTTCATTCGTTCCTTGAATTGATATAGTGAAATGATGAATTTGATTGTGTATATAAGCAAGTACAGGGGGGGTTTTGGGGGAGTTCTAGCGAAGGGAAATGTCGGTGGGGGCGTGGTCGGCGGTTGATGTTGCAGTAAATGAATGAAAGGTGAATGTGGTGGTACAGAATCAAGGAGACGGCGGCGATGGCGGCGTGTACAAGGACGGAAATGCGATCAATCAACCTTGACATAAAGCTCGAGCCTCAGCTCGGCTTGATCACCTCGAGTTTCCTAATTGAGAAAAGGGCCAAGCCAAGCTCAAGTTGACCGACTTATATGCCGGCCGCTGGAAAGTTCAATGTTGGACTTTGTTGTACGTCGATGGACAACAACGTATATCGACACACATTGGTGGACATTGATAGAGGTTGATGAACACCGAGATACGTCACATGACAACGGAGATTAGAATTAGATACGGCGATTTCCATTGTGCTTGTTGTTGTGTTTCATTGAAATTCAACACTCTCACCGTCGTGTCCAACATCCTCCAATGGATTCCAATGGCTTTCGCTGAATATACTTGGCCCATGCTTACCCCTGATACCATCCAATATGGTCCGATGAATTTCCAATCTTATCTCCAGGTGAAATAGTCGTTCCATCCCCTGATCAATGCTTTCGTACCCCTCGTCACCCCAACCGAACACCCCGCTATGTCTGCACTAACGGGACCCATCAACAACCGTCGCAAGAAATCGGACTTGGAGGCGGTTGCTCATGCACTCAAAATTGACTCCACTGGTACCGTGAAAGTCTTGATTCCCCACATCATCGCGCATCTCGATGGCCTTCCCATGCGCGCATGTTTTTGCGGAGGGTCGTTCCTGGGCATGATGGGGAATGGAGCGCATTAGGTGGCGAGTTGTTAGTTGGTGAATTCGTTAGCATGTCACTGTCTGAATTGTCAGCGCGTTATTCAAAAAACCAGGAAGAAAAAAAAAGTCCTTAGCTGAAAAGTCAAGTTCATATTGCGAGATCTCTGAACCCAATAAACAAGAAGTTCTGTAACGAATCCCGCGGTCTGCCCCCCACTTATTACTAACGCTATTCTTCGACAGGTACAACAAACTCACCTATCACGCAGCCAATACGAAACCCTCCCCATGAACCTCCCCTCCGCAGGCATATCTAAAACACTCCTCAGGATATACTTCACCACCGACACCTCGAGTCCTTCAAGATGGCAGATGCCATTGCCTGGTCGACGACCATGCCCGTGCCAGCTACGCCCATCAACATGCCTTGCCCTACCACCTGGCCATGCGCACATGATTTCGCGCGGGCCAGGGCCTTGTGTGGTGGAGTGGTCAGAGCGGAAGGAGGTGGAGTGGAGCATTGGGCTTTGTCGTGGATGCAGAAGAGGGGGGTTTGGCCCGCTGTGTCGCGTTTTAGAAGGTTTTTAGTCCATACGTTAACATAGCTGTCCGATGCATTTGGATAACCATGGACGAATGGAGTGGAATATGCTCTTCGGAGTTTGTTTGCCAATGTTGAACAACAACTTCCCAAAGCCGGCAAATTGCGAATCATCCATCAATAATGCCCAGTACCGATTTGCTACCGATGGACCACAATGGACTCCAATGGATTTCGATAAGTTTCCAACGACATTCACTGAATGTCAGTGTAATTCATTGAGGTCCATCGGGGTCCATTGTAGTCTATTGGACACCA